TGATATTTAACTTAATTAAAAAGAAACCTTAATAAAATAATAAAAAAAAAATAATTACAATATAAATAAGTCTAAAAATATAAGTAAAATGGGAGAGCTCTTATAGTCCTTTTTCTCGATATATATATAGAAATATTTGGTCCACCAATCTTATCCTCCCTAGGCCCTTGGTAAATGCGTCCATAATGAGTAAGATGGATATCTCGTATCCGAAAACTGCCAGTTCGCCGTGTCAATCCTCCTGGACCCAAATAACTCAATTTTCTCCCAGGAACTATTTGTGTCAATAGATTAGTTCCATCTAAAACTTGAGATAATGGGTGTAATCCGAAAAAAGATTCAAACGTGGTTGTTAATGGAGTTGAAGTTGCCAAATTTCGAGGAGTAGGTATCAATTTATGTCTAATTGCTCATTTAAATATTTGACAACTGATTACTTTTTTAAATAAGTATGTACTTTTGTATCTCTTCGTTCAAACATTGAATGGATGGAAGAAAAAGGTTGGTCCTCAGTTACTGATAAATACAAGCGTGCTATTAAACGTAACTTACAACTGTGCCGCTAGAGCCACTGCTGCCATAGTTGCTGCTATTGCCACCATTGCCACTGCTGCCATAGCCGCTGGTAGGGGGTGGAGGGCCAATGTTGCCGATGCCGAAGCCACCATATGGTTGTTGTTTAAGCCAACACGAGTAGCATAGCTTCCCAAAATGTTGAAGGTTACCATCATCACCCCCACAGCTACAATCCTATATTCTCGACCAAAATAAAAGTATTAAGTTAATAGATATATGGTTCTTAAACATTGAATTATCATTAATAAAYTCAAAAATTTAAATTAATAAATAGGATAAATTTAATCATTATATAATATCAAACACTCTCCTCACTTTAAATGACAATATAGGATTTGACAGGACTTTGTGTGCTCTAATACCATTCTAAATATGATTAAATAATCAACAAACTTAAAAGTTTAAGTTGATAGATTAAAATAATAGATTATATATACAGGTTGAAAAAGGATTTTTTTTTAATTTAAGTTATTATAAATTATAGATTGTAGAATGTCCAATGGAATATAACAGTCTTATAATTTGTAATTTGAGGGTTGATTGTAATAATTTTTATAATTCAATGATGATTTGTATTTTGCCTATGTCACCACGGGAGTTAAAACGACAGGGTTTAATTACAACAATTTTTGGTAGTTTGAGGTTGGGTGATTGATTATGTTTGGAAACAGGATTACAACCACCCCTATAGTTTAATGTGATTTTTTCCAAATTTCTCCAAACTTAATTGTTTTGCTGCATTCTTTTAGTTCTAGATTTGCTCTAAAGTTTCAATTTAACTTGTATACTTTTTCGGTTTCATTAGGGCAAAAACTAGAAATATTGTTTTCTAATATAAATTTATAAAAATAATTTTTTAAAACTATTTTAAAGAATATTTTTGTTTGAGAAAGGTCTCTTCGGGACCATTTTCATTAAACCACATGCTAGAAATTCATCTGTGCAGAAAGCAATTTTTCAAAATCTTCGTTGAAGCTAGCTATATGCTAATTACCGTTAGTTCATTTTGACAGTTTTTCAATTTTCCTAAAAGAACAATTTATCCAACTTTAACCTATCTATATCTAAAACGAGACGACTATTTTACCCTTTTAATTTTAAATTTTTGTCTATAATTTGATGCTATTTTTGTCATTTCTCTCTTTATAGAAGTACACTATTTTTCTCTCCCTCTCAAAAATTACACACCCCATCCACATTTCCTACATCCCTCCCGAAAATTACACCACATTTCACATCCCTCCATCTCTCTACTACTTTCTCTCTCGAAAAAAATACATGTTTTTATTTCCTTTCATCCCACTTATTCACATTCTCCCGTCTCTCCACTATTTTTTCAAGATTATTTTTTTTATTGATGAAGTGTTAATTATTTTTATTATTTAATAATGACGAAAGTCAGAATATAAATAGTTTATCTTAAAAAAAAAATAAATATAAAGGGTCAGAGTATATAAAGTTTTGTGCCTTTATTTCTATATATTAATTTTACAAAATTGAGTTATTTTAAATTTTAATTAATAGGAAAATTTCAAAAGTGTTGTAACTTAATATCCCACAACTGTATAAAGAACCTTTTTTTTCTTCTACTCCCAACTTTTTCCTAAAAAATTCAATAATCTTCTATTTTTCTCATGAATATTTTTCTCTTTTAGTAAATGTCGTTGAAGAATCAATAGGAAAGTGAATAGCAATATCACTTGAATTACATTATTGCCATGGAGTTGGTGGCTGAATTGCTAAAAAGGAGGGGAGCCAACGTGAAGAAAGTGGAACACTGTGAGAGCAAAAGAAGATGAAATAGTGTGCACCTAAGTTTTAGTCTTTCTTTTCTGTATTTTATTTTATTCGATAAAATTGTATGAATTATTGGACATTAGATAACTTTGTCGAGTTTTTCTTTAACATTTTCTAATTTGTATTATTTAAATAAATATTAATTTAATTAATTTTGTATGTAACATTTTAATTGAATTAATAACATATATCTTGACAATCATAAACGTCTAATTTAATTTCGAAATTAATCTTCAATTTTTCACTCCCTTTAATCCAGCTCATTCACTTTTTCCATCTCTCCACTATTTTATCTCAAATTTATTTTTCTCATAAATTATTGATTATTATTTTTATTATTTAATAATGCCAAAATTAACGAATAGATCTATAATCAACTTATTTGTCTTTTTAAATTTGTATTATTCTAATAATTTACTTACTTTAATTCAATTATAAAATCAACATATTCAATTTTTGTAAAATTAATTTATATTATAAATCTTAACTATCTTTTTTTAATGTATTTTTTATACTTTAAAATAAACTACCAAATTTCAGGTACATCGCACGTATCGCTGACCTATTCTCTTCGAAAAGCCATATTTCAACTTTCTTAAAAGAACGATTTCTCCAACTTTAATTAAAGAATTGATATGGTGTCATGTTATCAGGTAGACTTCTTTGTTTTATATTTTCACGGAATTTTATTTTTAAATAATATTTATTTATTTTTATATTTCACATTCTCCCTCTCTATTTAACTACCAATCCTATCTCAAAAAAAAAAGAAAAAAAAAAAGAAGGCCTATCAATCATTTATTAAAGAACTGACATAAAATCAGCCCAACATTTTAAAAAAAAATTCCTATGAAATCTAATTTATTAAATAGTTGAGCCGGTCAAAATTGACTTTACATCAAGCTTAGATCAGATTTAAGTTGGACTTGAACCAACCTTTGAGCTTCTGACCCAATGATGATAAGACTGACGACTTAGTATGTCGAAAAGAGAGATAAAAGAAAAAACTCACGACTATTTTAGAAATCGTCTCTTTGATCATTTCATGCATGTGCTGAAACAAATACTTCAATTTTGACTTTCCGTTGATGGAAACAATAATATTTGTCAAAATAGTTTTTAAAGACTTATAAATAGTCATAAAAAAATATCAAAACGAGTTGTAATTAGTATATATCTCAAACTAAGCTTCTAAGTTCGATCCACACTCCACTCCACATGTTGTACTAAATGATGATAATAATAATAATAGTCATCAAAATAGTTATAAAAATGATAATGTATCTTTTCTAAAATCCTATTAAAAATGTATCAAACGTCCCTATGGTCGCATATAAATTATCTTGCCGCATTAAGTTCTTTTGGGGTGTTAGAAAGATTAATGAATGGACATATTATTAATTGCACTCTAAAAACAAGATTAAGTTTAGTCCTTTTTTTCCATCAAAATGATGGTTTTAAAACCTACCTGAATTCCATGTTTGTTTAAATGAAAATGTTGCAGGTAAGATATTATATACATAAGGTGAGCATAAAAGAAATATAGATATATGAAATTGAAATGGGGTGAAAAGAGTAAAATTATAATGTAAGCATAATTTATAGATCATAAAATGTGTTACTATAGGATTAAACTTACGGGTAGCGGATAGGGAAGATGTGGCGGATAAACAGAAGGCAAATAGGGCGGCGGTGCATAATATGAAGGTGGCAGATTGTATGGTTTTGGTGGGAGATGGGTTTGAGCTTGCGGTGGCTTCTTACCCTTCTTCTCAACCAAAGCCATAGCTTCTTCCAAACTTTGTTGCAAATTCTCCACTGCACAAAATCAAGATTTGTTGGACATATGCAAATTCTCACCGCAATTCAAACCCTGAATTTTATAGCCCTAAACTAAACTAAGTCGCAGGACCACGCTAACTCTGCAAGGCTGTACTCACTGCCTAGCTACTTGCGACCCAATCAAAGAATAATATTAACATGACTCATCAATCAAAGATCTCCACTTTTGTTGTAACTTAAATGTTGCGACGATGGTATGATTGAGGAGACTGTTTAACATTTTCAATACTTCTATTTTAGCCACCCATTTTCAATACATTATTATTGAAGGGTACAATATTAAGTTATATACGGTACAGATTAGGTAAGAAAAGAATTATCTCAGGTATAATATATCCATCTATTTCATTATATTTTTTAAAAATAATTAGAAATGGACCAAGTTCAACTTCTTTACACCCTACACAACTTACAAAATTTTTAGGTCTAATTCAACTAAATCTTATGTCAAACTACCCATGTCAACGTGCACGATATTAGCTGTCTAGTTAGTTTTACATTATCTAGACACAAGGAATTAAAGATGATAAATATATAAGTTATGACAACTATTTTTATTGGTATATACAAGTTATGACAACTATCTCCATTGGTATTAGTTGTCTGGTTATATATAAAGTTTTTTTTAATAAAACAAAAAACAAATTAGTCACCAGAATTTATGTCGAAAAGTAGACAATATCATATTTGTCGCACCGTCGTCGTGACGCGGAGCGGCCAACGTCATCTCCTGATGGGTCTCTTTCGAAATTAGTGTTTGGAATCGCCACCAATCATCTACGAGGTGTGATTGGTCACTTATTTTAAAAATTCGGTCTACGAAAAACAGATTTTAGGTTCGGGAGTTGGTTGAGCGTAGGGAAGGTTTTGTACGACACCCGTTCGAAAACAGTACCATATTTTGTCAAAAATCATCCTATTATTTTATTTGGTCCAAAAGAAAATTATTTTTGTATTTTGATTGAAATGTCTCACGTTATATTAATTCACTTTGTTATAAGATATGAATTAATAGATATGAGTGGCACGAAGACCATTAGAAAAATCTTATCACGACTCAATATACAAAGCTCGTACCAATGTGCCAACTTCTTAAGATATTACTTAAGTTTTTTTATATAAATGTTTTAATATTTAAAATTTGTTAAAAAGAAACGAAAGTTTTTTTTTAAAATATTTTACCTAAAATAGTAAAAATGAGACATGTGAATTACTCCTAACAAACCTATCACCATGCCAACACCACATTATACAACTTAACTTTAATTCTTATTATACAGATCTTTATTTTGAAATTTTGTTTAAAAAAGAAAGAAAAATTAAAACTAAAACCGAAAAAAAAAAGAACTTTATTGTATTTTAGATTTGAAATCCCTATAACAAACTCCCTTAAAACCTTTTTTTWAAACATTTAAAACAAACTTGTTTTAAAGAAAAAAAATCATATTTAAAACAAACTTGTTTTTAAAAAAATTCAAATCATATTTAAAACAAACTTATTTTAAAAATAATCAAATCATTTCTAAAAGCATTTTTTTTTCTATATCACGTACTGCAGTGAGGAAATCCTTGGTGTACCTGCGGGTCTGAAACCGTGAAGGAGCACTTGAGGTGGGAGTCAGGTTGTCGGAGATCTGTGCGTCGGTTGTAGAAGTTGTTCGTTATATTATTGTTGTCTGTCGGGATTATAGAGCTTTGCGTCGGACTACTGTGCTGCGGGTTGTCTGAACTTGTGATCACCAAGGGACGTGTGTAGTCGGAGTATTGTCGGGGTTGCTGGTGTGGGTGAAGAAGAAGAGAAGGTGATGGTAGAGAGAAAGAAGGAAGTGAATTTTTGTTCCTCACCTAAAGATAACGGTAAAAAAGAAAAAGAGGGCAAGAGAGGAGAGAAAAATAGGGAGGAGAAGAAAGGAGGGGACATACCTATGAACGAAAAAATCAAATGAGAGAAAAAACAGTTTTTTTTTTAAATCTTAAAATCAATTAAATAAAATCCTAAAAAAACCAATTATTTTCGAACAAAATCTAATTTTAAAACTTAATTTGATTTAATTAAAACTTTACATTAAATTTTATAATAAAATAAATTATGTTATTTTAAACTAAATCAATAAACATAATAAAATAATAAATAAATCAGTAAAAAAAAATTTTAAACGAAAGCGAGCCGGATCAAATACGGTCTCTAAATAAATTATAGAGAAGTCTCTGTCTTACTCATCATAAATATTTAGATCAACAATTTGTAGATGATAAATTCAAATAAGTTTCATATACATACAACCTCAACGTGGAAGGAAGTACTTTAAAATTATAAATTTTTAGGTAAGACATTATTAATTAACTATGTAGATATATAAACCCAAGATGCATTTTACTAGAACATATACCAAGAAGGAAATGATACATAAACAAAGACTTGAGAGGGTCAACATTGACGCGCAATTTATTGTATGCGTATTAATATTTTACCTTATTTTTTGGTTGTCTAATGAGAAGAAAGGTGATGGCCTTCCATTATGGGTAATCATAATGTAGACAGAGTGGCCCTTGTTTTTCTGATTTATTTCCTCGAGGAACAGTTTATTTTCATAGTTCATCGATAAACTACTTTTGATTTTTTATCGAGAATATGCGACTTAATTAACCAGTTAACAGATCTCTCCTCTTTTACGTACTCTTTACATGTATTTGAGATTGTAATATGTTTGGACATACATTGGATTCAAGAGGTGAGTAGTTTTTATATATTTATTAATATTGAAGCATCACACAACCATATTAAACTTGTATAGTTATATTTAATATATGCTTATTATTATCTTCGAATTATGTAATAATATATATTTATTTTTCTTGAAAAGGAAAAAGCATTCTGGCTCATCAAAATATGAAGTTGGCACCACTTGTCAATAAGGGTGGAGCCATCTTGGGCAAAGCTTGAGCTCACATAGGCACATTTCTATGACTTAGACAACAAACTTGCAATTTAGGCACGATTCGACCCCTTTTCTCCTCTCGGGACTTGAAGAAGAGATGTTGAGTTTTATGCTCCAAARTTTTCTAATCTTTTAGTAAATTTATGAATATGAATAAAATTGGCTATTTTCTAACATGTGCATAATTATCTTTAATTAAAGCATTAATTAATTAATTATTGCTCCTAAGTCATCGAATGTGTCTTTAAATGGGGATTTAAGACACTTGACACCCTCCTCTTCTTCCTTTATTTATTAGTTCAGCAACATATGATAATAGARATTCGAACTTCTGATATTTTGGTCGAGAATATATATCTTAACCAATTGAGATATGTTGTGTTCAATTCTCTCCTCTTAATTTTACGTGCTCTTACATTTATTTGAGATTGTGCTATATTTGGATATCGAAATCATTGCTTGAAGTACATATAAGATAATTTCAAGATAAATAGTTTTCATATATATTTATTGATATTGAAGCATCCCACAACCATACTAAATATAAAGTATGATACAAACTTAAACTTATATATAGTTCTACTTATGCTTATTATTCTCTTCTAAGCTTTTTGTAGTCATATTTATTTTTCTTGCCCATCAAAAGATGAAGTTGGCACCACAAGTATCACGAGTACAGTCGATAAGAGTGGAGCCATCCTGAGCAAAGCACGCCACCACTTCAACCAAGTAAGACACTTTTGTTTGTGGGTCTGTTCTACAACGTAAACCAGGAAACTTCCCAAACTTTGCTTTTAGGAACCCTTTTATTGCTTGCCTTGACTTGGTGCGCCCATTTGGTCCTGCTGCATGAGGCCTTAGGGCTCCAATAATGTCGTAATTATTCCTCATGTCCACAGCCAACTTGAAATATGCAGCTTGGTTGAATGTACTCTCAGAGCATGTTCCATGTTTCGTCCACTCATGACTCCAAAATTGTTGATTGTTTGCTCTAAGCACGTTGGGCCAAAGTGTGTTCAATTGGGACTGTAGATGGGAAATCTGAATAAACAAGAGAGTGAATCAATTTATGTTTTGAGTTCAGATTTCAGATTAAGAAGATTAACTTAACTTATGTTTGGAACATGTGTTTACTAATCCCTAACTTAGTTATGACTTTAATTTGATAATACAATGGCAGAGGTAACTCATGATTTATAAATCTTGTTTAGTTTCTTCGTCTTTTCAAGATGGGATAGTTAACAATGTTATATACAATAAGCTCTTTTAGGTTTTTTTAAATAAAAAATATTTTTTTGATTTTTTAAGACAGGTTTGTTATAACTATTTTTAAAATTTTATTATCACAATTGACATATTTTTTTAGAACAATCAGAGCACTGAGTTGATCTTTATTTAAAAAGAAAAATATCAAGGTTATTTATTTCATGATTAACTATATTTTCAAACACTTGTTTTTTAATATTGAAATTTTGTTCATGAGATAGGTGCCTTAGCCATTTGAGCTATGCTCGGTTTGATATTAGAAGTATGTTTTTAAAACATAATATATATAAAAGATTAATTTATAAATTCAGTTTAAACTTCTAAAATCCTCGTTACACGAAAAAAAAATAATAATAATAATAATAATAATAAACCCTTAGAAAAATCTTCAATTTCTCAACTTTTTTTTTTTAGAAAAACATGTTTCAGCTTTAAATTATGTTTCTAGTTAATATTGGTTCATGTGTTGTTTAATACCATTAATGAGATCTGGACCCACACCCAACCAGTCCATTAAATTTAATTTGGAAAAAACTTTGTTCCTTAAGGAACCTTATCCTCCTCACTACTCTTCGGGAGTGGAATGAGCAAAATACCTTAATCGCTTGTGGGTAAACTCATATGGGTAACATTTTATTAATATTAATTGTATAAAACAACGATACTAATACAAGCATAATTCAAATTTCAATTGTTAACCTAAAAAAGTATACACATACCTTAGTGATATCAAATGGAGAGCCCGGACAATTCGTCAAGGAGGTGCCACTTTGTTGGGGCCACAAACCATGTATTGTGAACGTTCGCAACCCACTTCCGGGACAGCTACCTGATTTTTGGAAACTACAAACTGCAGGTGGCCATTGTTGGACGAACCAAAAGGAATCGAAAGCATCTGATAAAGCCATGAGTGAGAAAATGGTGAGGGCCAAGGAAATGGCAACTTCTCTCTTTGGCACTCCCATGGCTCTCATAGATCTCAAAAAGTGTTTAGATTGGTGAGTTTGGGCATTGCCTGAGAGAAGAGGGCTATTTATAGTCATCTCACCCTACCTATCAACTATCCCTTTCAGTCCTCTCAAGTCTCAAGTGGGAGATTTATGGGTAAAACCTTTTTCTTTTTTTTTTCTTAATCCACTTCTTGTATTTTTTTTTTTATATTTTATTTTAGTACTTAAACCATATATCGATTCCATACACAGTTCCCGAAAAAAGATAGTGAGAAAAATTATTATTATTATTATTTTTCAAAATACATGTTTTAGTTCTATTTTTTGAATTGAGTTCCTACTTTTGAAAATTTTCAATTTAATCCTTTATGCTTTAACATTTTCACTTATATTCTTTCAATTGGTAAATGTTAAAATTAATTGACTATATAACAAACTACTTAACCATTTGAGCTATAGAAAAAATTGATTCTAAAGAAGCATTGAATTTTTAATCAAAACAGAGATTAAACTATTGATGTTGATGGAGGTATTGAGATCTAAGTTTTGCAAATATTAAATATTCTGGTAATTAACCACGAAAGTTATTTTCGCTTCCTAATTATAAGTTATAAGTCATTATTTATATTCATATTATTGGCTAATTGATTATATTTTTTATATTACAATATAATTCTTCCTCTGAAAAAGTAATAATAATAAATGAAGAAAATTTAGGAGGTTTGAAATTATTTGCTGGCACCAACCTAACCGATTGCATTGCAAAAGAAAAAAAACAAACCTAACCGATTCCTTCACAAAAAACGAACCCGACCGATTGACATTTACAAAATCGTCCATAAATCATAAATGTGAATGTGGGAATCCATTCAATAAGAAATGTCATCTTCTAAAAATTAGAAGAATGGTGCTTGCATTTTTACACGTTTATACAATCCTAGATTTTAGAAAATTAATTTGTATCTTAGTTACTCAATATTTTTGAACATTTTATTTTAATTTTTAATCCTGCAAAAAAAAATTATTTTAATTTTCATGTCTCTTTAGTCGCTCGTGAGTAGATGTCTGTAATGAACCATTATTTAAAGTCACGTTTATTAGGTTTCAAATAAGATTTGAATTTTGTTAAATAATTAATAAAAAAAATTAATGATAAGGATTAAAAATGTTTTTTTTTCMTCTAAAAGATATGTTTGAAAGTTGATAGACTAAAAAGATAATATTAAAAGTTTTAAGGGCAAAACAGGAAAGCTTAGGAATTAAAATATAGTTTAAACTTTAAAAAAATCATATTTCTTTTTCTAAAATGTAGGCTATAATACTTTTAATTTACATTTTCATTATGAAAATATAAACTTAGTCGTTGGAAAAGAGATGGATCATCAGAAACTTAGAAATAGCCGTKGGAATAGTGAAACAAAGTCACCAGAATGATTGAGAACATAAGTTAGGATCCTTCTAGTAACGTTTTCGTTTTTTGTTTCTATACAAATAGTGAAACAAATTTGTTTTGGTTGTTTCTAAAATTTATTTATCAAATCTTTTAGTGAAAAATAGAAACAATGTGGTAAATAGTTTTGAGAATTTTAATAATTAAAATTCAAATCATTGAGTATTAGGATTAGTTAGTTATTAATTTAGTTTTTTTGCTTGGGCACTTGTATGTATATTCATTATTCATTCTTAACAAAATTACACGCTAGACAATAGACTTTATCAGATTACTCTTAATAAGGAGAATAATGAAATCTAAAAATTTCTATATTTGTTGAATAATTTATTAAAATATAAACATTTAATAATAAATAAAAATAGCACCATTAAATGATGCCAAAATTTTATATTTCTTTTTGTTTTTTTTTTAAGAAAAATGGTTTATTTGTTTATTAAAAATATTTCACTATGGTAATTTATATATAGACTTCCTCTAAAATGAGCTTATATATTGATAAAAGTGTAAATATTTGAGACTACATTAGGTTAAAAATACGCGAGTGAAAATATTTCAAACCAATGTTCGAGTACGGTGCGGTAATGTAAGTTTGGTTGTTGAAGGTTGGGCTTGAGAACTTGTTGGGCCTAAGCGGAGCTTTGGGTTTGGTTGGCCCAATAATGGAAACAGGGAAGATGGTAATCTGAAAACTTGTCTTCTTTTACACATGCTATATTTGAAAAAACAAATGAAAAGTTTTTGACTTTTAAGAAAATGTATTATATTTATATTATAAAGTAAAATTTCTCGTCTTTTTTTTTCCTAAGTCTTGCCATAGGTCACCTATGTAAGTCACATAATTAAGGATATAAATCAATATTACAGGTGTCTCTTCAAAATTTTGACTGCCGGTGGCTACAACAATTTCGTTTTCAATTTTTGACTTCAAAGTATTTTCTCACCATTTCATTGATATGTTTTTCATCTTTCTTCAAAAAAATACTTTTGAATTCTTATCTAAATTCTAAAAACACAAACAAGTTGTTGGAAACTATTTTTTTTTTCCAAAATTCTATCTAGATTTTGAAAACATTTTTTAAAAGATGATAACCAGATAAAAGGAAGGTGAAAGTAATGGTTATAAGCTTCATTTTCAAAAATAAAAAACAATCAATATTATCAAAGAACGTCTAAACTTCTTGAAAGCTATATATTCACATTACCTCAGTCACACTTAATTAGAGTGTGTTAAATCATTATTTTAAATCAAAATGTTGAAAAGAAAAAGGTTGTTGATCACAAATTAAGTATTATACTAGATATCAATGAGAAGACAACTGCACATATCCTTTTGCTCACCTTGGGAGCGATAAGAATGACGACTGTGTTTGGATGTAATCCTTTCAACAACAGGTCTTGTGGGTGGTCCTCACAAAATGTCTAGATATATATATTTGCTTTTAATTGTTTTTCCTTTCTAACTTTTGTCAAAAATAATAATAATAATAAATTCAACATTATTCCTTTTGAACATATTTGATTTCAACCCATAAGTAAAGTAGACTTCCATCCCAAATCATATGTGACTTGTGAGCCCCTCTATGAGTAGATGCCACCCCCTTCCACTCTTGCATAGGACCACATCAACATTTTCAAAGTTTTTCCCCCAGCTTTCTCATTACACTTGTATTTGATCACAGTTCCTTTATCTTTTAATTGATAATAAATTGGAAAGAAAGAAAATGATCATCAAGCTACATCAGATCAAGATTTAAACAAAAAAACAAATTCATTAATACCTTTTTTCTTTTCTTTCCTTTAATCACACGCACAAGAACAACTAAATACAATGAACAAACTATGTATGTAAAAAAGACATGAAAACACATCCCACCTTAAAAGCAACAAATCCCATATATATATATGCACGTCAAAAAGCACATATATAATTCTAAAGACACATCAAAAAAGAAACCAAATTAAAGCAATAAGACTATTGAAAATCCACGCCACAATCATCATCATCTAAACCCAACTTTTAATTAATTCCTTTCAATAATCAGAAGCTGCCTCCTTCTTCTCCTCCTCCTTGGGGTGGTATCCGGGGAGTTTCTCCTTGATCTTCTCCAAAAATCCCTTCTTCTCCTTCCCCTCCTCTTCAGGATGGCAAGCCGCCGCCTCGGCCGCGTGCGGCACCTCCGATGCAGCTTCCTCCGACTTCTTATGGCCCGGAAGCTTCTCCTTGATCTTGTCTAGGAACCCTTTCTTCTCCTCCGAGTGGGCTGCATCGTCCACCTTCTCAACCGGGACGGCGACTGCTTCGTGGTCGTGTCTGTGCTCGTGCTCTTTAGCTTCTTCCTTCTTCTCCTCCCCGTCTCCTCCCAACTTCTCCTTCAACTTCTCCTTCAGCCCCTTCTTCTTCTTCTTCTTCTTCTTCTCCCCTCCTTCTCCTTCCTCCTCATCACTAGACTGCAAATCAAAACCAACCCATGTGATCAAAACTCTAACTTAATATGAATAAATGATCAAACATTAAAAAAAAAGTAAAATCAAAACTTACAGAGCTGGAGGAGCTATCTGATCGGTGGAGCTTCTCCAACAAAGTGGGCTTCTTCTCGTGTTCTTCCTCCACCTTGGGCCCAGAAACTTCAACTTTCTCGAACTGTTCAGTCACCACAATCACCTCCTCAGCCGACTGTGGCTTCTCCTCCTCCTTCTTATTCCCCAAGAAATCAAACAACCCACGATCCTTGGCCTCAATTTCTTCACCAACCTCCCCCTCGATCTTCTTGTTTTCGTAATCCGCCATCAACAAATTTGAGCAACACACAGATTTTTTGTAATTTGGATGAGTTCACTTCGATTGGTTAGTGCGTCTCCAGAATAGGCCAATTTATAACAGATGGCGCCACACGGGCCCAACGCGCCAGATCGTAACGCCAAAAAGCAAAACCCCAATCGACTATTATTATTATTATTTTCTGACAACCGACGTGGTGGTGGTGGATTGGTTTAAATCCGAAGAAAAGCATTTGCAGAAAAAGAAAAGAAAATATATTATTTCAGATCTCTACGCGGATTGGCACGTGGCTGGCCAGGAAAGCGAGTGGTTGGAGGATCTGTAGTCGCGGAGTGGAGGAGTCAAAAGGAGAAAGTAAGAGAGAGAGACAGGGGCCAATGAGAGGGCGCAACGTGTACAAAGGACGTGGAGGTGGGGCCCGGTGTGTCGGCCTTGATTGGATAAAAACGGGAGGGTCGGCAAGAGAGTCGGTGGGTGCACGATAAGTAATGGTGGGGTCGTATTATTCAATCCATTGGGTTGTGTACGTTTCTAAGATTCTCGACGTTGGGGGGAGCCATTGGAGACAGATGGTCGGTTTCTTGTTTTTTTTTAGTTCAATTTCCAACTTTCCAGATTTTTTCCTTTTATTTCTCTAACATAATAATTTGAAGAGTTGTTGAGGAAATATTTTTGTGGGTTTAATGGAGATTACTTGCACAAGTTTTGTACGAAATTGATATGGCTTTGGTGTTAATTTTGTTTGGAATAAAATTAAGGAGATGAAATTTGGTCGTGTTGGAATGATACCTAAATGTAGGATTTTAAAAATGGTTAGAATGAGACATTTGATGAGATGAGCAAATTTTTATAAATAATTGTGTTTTAAGAGACAATTATTTTTATTTTTTTTTAGTAAACCATTGTAGATGTGGGGGTTCAAACTCACGATCTTCTAATTAAAGATAGATACTTTAACCATTTGAGTTATGTTCGGTTTGATGTTTTAAGAGATGATTATAAACATACTCATCTGCAATTTCAAATTTAATAATAATTATGATTTTCTAATATATACTTTAAGCTTTCAAAATCAATCTCAAACAGGTCTTACGTCCACTAAGTAATTAGCACTATCAAATATAAATATTTAATGTTTGAAAATAAATAAATATCTGAGAATAATATAACATTTTTCTATTTTTAAACATATGATTTAAATCAACATAAGTAAAAAAAAAAAATCTTAGTTAGCTTTAGTTGAGTCCCTTGTCTATTTGGAGTAACCTAAGTTTTTTCTAAAAATAATAATAATAATAATAATAAAAGATAAAAATCATTTACACGTGTCAGAACTAGAACAACGTGCGAGACTTTGATCGTCTAATTTGGGTTGATTGTTAATTGTCAATTTCAAAAGTTTCGTGCCAAAATTTGTAACCAATTGATATCCATCTCTTTCGATTAAAAATTAATATTTTCTTATTTGGATCTCTCCTTTTCTTTTCCCCTCCGAATAGCCTTATTTGGATACTTATGGATAATGAGATGTTCTTATTCAAAGTCTTTGTGAATTTTGGGATATTCAAAGTCTTACGTTGGAGTTATAAATTTTGACAAATACTAAATTACTATTTTGTCTTGTTTATGACCATTTGATCACACGTAGCCTTATCAATGGGGTCTTTTTGATAATTGGATTCTAAGTCATTCAAACTCAAATTCTCTTAACTTGACATATGAACCAAACAGCTCTTCAAGTCCAAGAGTTGGATCCAAAATTACTCAATCATGTATCAACTTAAACTTGTGAAGACCTAATTAAATATAGGAGTCACCCCCTCCATTTCAAGCTTGTAAAAGTTAAAGCATACTCCCAATAAATTGAAAACTCTCCGAAAACAACGAAACTTTTGAAATCCTGACTCTAAAGACACTTCAAATACCAAAATATTTTGAGGATCGAAGACTTTGAAGACTAAATAATTTAAAGAATAGAATACTTGATGACGTTGAATATTTGAACACTTCGAAGATAAGTTAAGGACATTTGGAGCGTAAAAGAACTTCAAGGGATCAATCCAAAGGTATTAATAAGCCAAAAGACTGATCTAAAGGGATCAACAAGTCATAAGACTATATGTTTCAAAAGAAAAAAAAAACAAGTCATAAGACTAACCCAATAAGATAAACAACCCAAAAGGCATCGTCAACGAGCCAAGTAGCTTATACAAAGAAATCAACAAGTTGGAAGTTGAAGATCTTGAATGAGTAGAAATCAAAGGAAGTCAAAGACTCCAAACTCCTTGATTCGAAAACAAGCGCTCCCGCCTCGAGTTAAGCTATGTCCTAGAGAGAATCTACAGATTGACTTACACAAAATAAAACAAGTCAAAGTTCTACTCCATGAATCAAATTTATGTCAAAAATCTCATGCGGACACAATGACTTTTGAAATAATGATTTTTAAATAATATTTTTTCTTCAACCAATTTTAAACTACTGATATAAGTGTATTTTAATTAGTATAGTTTCTTAAATAACTAAAAGTCCTATTGAAAAATTAAGAGAAAACACTAAAGTACTCGATCTAGAATTTAGAAACTAAAATAGAATATTATTTTAAATATAATTAAATTTAAAATAAGATAAAATTTGAAAGTTTAGAAACTAAAATATAATGAAACCATCTTAACGGTAAAGTTGTTATTTACTAATAAATTTATATTAGCTGACATGAGTATAATTCAGCAGTAAAGACATCTTACTCTTTTTTAAAAGTCGAAGGTTTAATATTTATCTCCCGTTAAAAAGAATTATTCATTTATTAGTGATAGTTCTAATGTTGTCTATTTTACACYCACACACGCCACACACGCCTTTATTCTTTTTTCGGTTAGCCATCTCCTCTTCGCATGGCAAGCTTGTAATGGATGCCATACCTTTTTTTAATGGCACATTGTTGAGCATCCAACTTGCATTGTAGGTAGTGAGGAGGCAAAGAAGAGGCTACAATAATGAATGGATCATTTATAACATTTAAAGTATCACAATTTTTTCGAAAAAGTTATAGTTGGCAAAATATGATTTTGGGTACATCCTATGAGATATTTATGGAACATAGTTTTTATAACGAGATCTAAAACATGTAACTTGACATATGGATGATAAGAATTGTTTGACTGCATTTCGAATAAGCCAAGAGCTAACTAGCTAACTAGTCTTATGACGTGTCAATCAGATTAGATCAGAACCGAGTTATAACAATATGTTAATGGTGGTGCCAAAGCATAAAAATGCATCTACTCTTTTCCATCTATCCCCCATTTCACATTTTCATTTATTTTTTAATTTTGAAACTTTACATTTTGATGTTGCAATTTCAACACTAAACACCCCAAAATTAGTACAAGTTTTCACCAAAGTATTTCTTGCAAATTGAAACTTTGAGATGCAAAAGGTTTTGTGATTTTCTCTAGTGGGCTTTGGATTAAAGATGAAGAAAAAGATTTCAAACATATTCACATTGAGGATTTTATGGGACGACATTTCTTTACTTTCCATCATGTGGATATTTTCTCACATTAATTTATAGATCCATTCATGTTCTATTAGATCACCTCACAAATGAATAGATCTGAAATCAAGTTAATTATCAATTAATTAAACTTTATTGGTTCAACTAAACTATTTTTTATTTGTTGAGTCAATTAATTGAATTTTATTAATTTAACTAAACTATTTTTTACTCAAATTTTTTTTAGTAAAAGGACTTTATTAATGAAGAAAACCACACATTCCACTAACATCATTCATAAGCCAACAAAGAAAATAAATATCCCACAAAAAGAGATACGACAGGAAATAACCCTTTTTACCAATATATTTGCCTTGGAGTTCAATCGAAGATTGATATAGGAAATTTCGCTAACATAAGTATAACTTAGTGATAATTGACATATATTTCTTTTCTCGAAGTCAGAGGTTCAATCTTCCATATCCCCAAATTGTTGTACTAAAAAGACAAAGATATAAATAAATTTAACCTCTTGAAAATTCTTCCTCAACTCATAAATACTAGAACTCTAATTAAATCAAAATATAGTGCTTATTCCTAAGATTAAAAGGTAGGTGTATTATTGTGATCTTTCTTTCAAACTCTTTTTTCTCAAGTACGGTAAATATCAAGATGAAAATTTAAACTTCAAACTTCAAATAAATTAAAGATACCTTTAACTACTAAGCTACGTTCATGTGCCAACATGTGCTAACCTAATTTGAATAAGGATGAAGTTAAGTACATATCTTTATTCGCTAAATATTTACAAATATATATATTTTTTTAAAATATAACTGTAAATATAATCTTAAAAAAATGTACAATGTTTTTTAAACTACAAATTGTCCTCCCAACTCCTCAATTTGTGTCATCATTGGCCGGGTCCGCCAAGAAAACATAGGCCCAAACTTGGCCCAACTGTAAGGCTAGTTGCCCCAAAGTACTGATAAGGCTTGAATTGGGCCGACCCAATATAAAAAAGTAAGCGCACGTTGTCAGAAGCGAGGGAGCATGGAGATTTAAATCTTCCATCTCTAAAATAAGTTACTCACATCGTAATCATTGACTTTGCTCAATTGGCACCAACTAATATTACATATAAATAAGGCTCAATTATTCAAAATATCATGCATTTTGATGTTACTTTTATTTATATTATTATTATTTAAAAATTTCACTTCGACTTTTGATTTTTAAAATTTATAAAAATTTGTCGCTGAAGAATTCTACTCCTATAACAAGTGATAGAAACTGATGTAGTTATAGAATTATAAAACGAAGCAATAGCAGACATGACTTTTAAAAAATGAACATTAAATAGAAACTGATGTAGTTATAGAGTTGTAAAACGAAATCGTGGCAGACATGACTTTTGAAAAATGAACACTAAACGTGACAAATATCGAAAACCACTGGACAAACATTTTTTAAGTCATGTTTGCTGTTCATTTTTAACCCATCACTTAGTGGTTATATCAATACTTGTCACATTTGATGTTTATTTTTTTAAAAGGTACATCTTTATTGCTCCGTTTACAACGGACTCATTTTAACAAAGTTCTTCAATGGCTCTTTATTGCTCCGTTTACAACTCAACAACCACATCAACTTCTGTCACTCATTTTAACAAAGTTCTTCAACGGCACATTTCAATAAATTTTCAAGGTCAAAAGGGTAGAAGAAAAACTTGTTAAAAAAGGTGTAAATCAAACTAAGCTTAAAATTTATTGACATTTGGAATAATTTAGCTTATAATTTATAAATAACTAGTAATCGACATTGGACACTAATCAAGTTTCAATTTGGCCATTTATGAGATTACATGATTGGATTTAATTTCTTTCACATTATCACCTCGACAAGGGTATTTTTCAACACAAATCCTAAAATTCTCCCCCAAGGAAGGCATGGTCATGGGCCGGAAACAGAGCCAAAATGTATTGGGCCGAGGCCCAGAGATGCGCCGCTAAAGCTGATGAGGGTTCTAAATTTAGGGAAGATTTTAAAGAGATTTCCCGATGCATAAAAAGCGGATATCTTCTTTATCGCGACCTTGTTAGACAAATGTCGGGAAAAATCCTGACGTTTTACGAAAAAGTTTGGAATAGTCTCATCTCGCGATGTTTTTCTGAAACGTGAGGAGGATATTTTCCGACTCATAGAAAGCATCGAATATCTTCTTTTCCCTTATGTTATTAGACAAATGTAAAGAAAGTGTTAGGAAATCTCTCCCTTGTATGTAAACATAAAAAGCTTCATCTCCCGATGGTTTCCTAAAACATCGGACGTTTCCTAACAAAAAAATTAGAACGTCGAGATTTGTAACTTTTTTCGACGAAAATACGTGCGTCGGAAAAGGTTTCATCAATATTGATCAAAATTCTTGTAGTGCAAGAATGTTACCAAATGAATGGTAAGTAATTTCATTCTTTTAAATTTCTATTAGCTCATTAAATATTTTGTCATATAAGCTARAAAAAAACAATGACATTTAACATTAACTAACAAAAAAGGTAATTGAAAATGTTAAAATGTGTTATGGGTAAGAATAGAGGCCGTATGTGCCCCGCATAGTTCCACGTGGCAGCAAGGACCAATCCCACCAGAGAGTGGCGAGTAACGAAGAGAGCAATGATGATTTGACAAACATGTACAGACAATACCATGATGTGTCTGACAACTGCAGAGGTGACAGTGGAATCATGGGAGTAGGCCCCTTGTCTTGGAGGCTCGTCGGTCCATTCATTCTTCAGAGCGGGCCGACAGGCGGGGCAGACGGGGATCGTCGAAGAAGTGCCTTGACGTGCCGTAGTCACTACTCCTTTTATGCAATTACGAAGAGGGGAATAGAATCACGCACCAAGAATGTCCCCTATGAATCGTCAGTGTTCGTGAATGGGTAGGGCCCATCACGTCCCACGTTGGATCACCTCCTACTTAGCCCCATCAGTTTTATAAGGAGAGGGATTTTGCCTCAAAAAATCGATCACTAAACTTGTACTAAAAGCTTTCTATATTCTTTTCTAAGTCATTAACTTGAACGTTTGAAGATATTTAACAGGCATCTTAGATATCGAAATCTATTGTATTGGATAACTTTGTTTGAAAAATAAAAAGCTGACCCAAATTTCAACATCTGTAAACAAAAAAGTAAAACTTTTAAAATAACAACTAAATCGAAATAACTTTTAAAAGAGCTCCAACGACACAATAATAATTTTAAAAGGAGCTCCTCAAATGAACGAAAAGAATTAGAAAAAGAAAAAAAAAAAGTGTTAAAAGACATCGCTAAGCAAACGTTCATCACGCCCATGGTCCATTGAGACACTTCTTTTTACAATATATTAAATCTTCAAATCTCTCTCTCTCTACTGTTAGAAAGAAAGAAGAGAAAATTGCCGTTAATCGGCGATGGGACTTTATTGGAATTTGCTGGCGTTCGGTACTTTACTCTCCACGGCAGCGGTTTTCTCGTCGGAGATGGGAGGAGAGAAATCGGAGGAGGAATCGCGGCGGAGAGAGGCCGACAAAGTGATCGGCTTGCCGGAGCAGCCGCCGGTGGAGTTCCGGCACTACGCCGGGTACATCGAACTCGGGCCGACGGAGACCCGAGACAAGGCTCTGTTCTACTGGTTCTTTGAAGCTCAAAACGACGTCGCCCATAGCCCTCTCGTCCTTTGGCTCAATGGAGGTTCTCTCTCTTCTTTGATTTTACTAATTATTATTATTTAGTCCCTCCAAAGTTTTTTATTATTTTATTTGTTAGTCCCTCTGTCAAAATCAAAAAAAAACAAAAAAACAAAAAAAAAAGGAAAGAAAAGAAAAAATCTAGTTATCCCATTTGTGAAACTAAGGTCTAAATCTTTCTATTATTATTATTATTCTAAGAGCTAAGAAGTTGACAAAATATTTTTATAAGGAGACCAAATAAATATAATAGCTAACTTATAAAGAAAAAATATATAAATTTTTCCTTGATTTCAAATTTCCCTTGAGTTTTTTTCTTTTGCCAAAAAAAAAAAATTAGTTAATATAAATTTAAAATATTGTTTTACTTCATAAGTTATTTCAATTTACAAAAAAATTCTACCATTTGAAAAAACAAAATAAATAGAACGACAAAATAAATTATTTCCAAAGATTTTAGCCGTTTGAAATTATTAAGGCATGTCTTTTTGTGGAAAAGATCACTCAATTATTGATGTAACGACTAAAATATTTTTTTGATTTTTTTTTATTAATGATAAATCTGAATCTTATTTTACTCACTAACCTTTCTAGTTTAATTCTTGCATTTTCAAACTATCTATTTTAGTTTTTCAATTTTATAAAGAAATTCGTTGGAATGGATTTTATATTGAATGAAATATTATATGTATTAGATATTGAGTTTAAGAAAAAAAATTAAAGATTTTTTATTAAATACAATAAAATTTTACTAAAATATTGAAAATAAAATGTTATGTGAAGTTGAGCAGAAAGACTCATCTATCCCTATCATAAAAGGAATCTAGATCTAATCTATGCATATATTGGAATGAAAACTTTTGCCCTCCTTTCCCTTTGGTCTCACCCACTTTTTTCCTTTTTGTTGTTTATTTACTTCTGGTAGGAGTGACAACGGGATAGAGTGGAATAGAGATGACTTTTCGAGATGTGTCCATTTGTTATGAATTTGAATATAAACAAATTTTTATTAAAAAGGGGGAAAATAGGATGAAAATTCTTTAAAAGAAAAGTTCTAATTCAATTAATTTATACTTCCTTTTATTAATTTAAATGCTAATATATATCATGGAAATACATGTAACCTTTACATGTGTAGATTTGTACACGAATTTTTCTATTAGACTGTAATACATCAAATTAAGCATAGTTGAATGAATTCTTATCTATCGCCATCCAAAAAGTTGATAGTTTAACTTCTCATCTTCTTAATTGTTGAAAATATAAATATTATGTAACAAAGAAATTATTAACAAAAAAGATAAAAAGATTAAGAATTGGAAATGAATATGCAGTTATTCTCGTATTAATCCATAACTTAAAAAAAATTAATTTGAATCTCTGCCCATTATTTGAATGGTTAATATTGTTTAAAAGAATGGAAGAATTTTGATGTTGAATGTTTTGTTTGTGAATAATTTATCAGGGCCAGGCTGCTCCTCCATAGCCTATGGAGCTGCACAAGAACTTGGCCCCTTCCTTGTTCAAAGCAATGGGAAGCTAAAACTCAACAATTTTTCTTGGAATAAAGGTATTCTCTCCGAGCCTGGCTTCGATAACGGTTTTATTTTTAGTTTTCAATTTGTAAAAATTATGTTGTCTCATTCTAGTTTCTTTAGTATCTTCTTTCACTTTTACTAAGAACAGCATTTAAATTCTTAGCTAAGTTTCAAAACCAATTTTTTTAAAAAAAGTACTTTTTTTCTTTTCAGTTATTAAGATTTAGTTTAAATTTTGAAAACGTATGTCTACGAGAAATAGATAG